CAAGACTGAAGTCCCTATGCCATGGACTGGAGCAGCCTCCCTCCCCCCTTCCTAAATGAAAATTTGGATCTGTTAATGTCGCTGGTTTAATATAGCTCTTCTGTATGTTTTCATATGTGACACATAGGGTAGCCCTCGTATGCATTCGTTGAGTGTAACCCCCACCCCCTTTTAATAATCGTCTTTTGAGTGCCTAGATGCCGTGTTTGTACACAACATCTAAAGCTGATTCAGTATTCAAAATACTTATTTTGGTATCGTCTCTGTTCTCGCTGTGTTGAAAACTCATTGGAGGCCTTGGGCTGTATTCTGCTCTTTGGTTGGGTTGTTGTCTCTTTGACACATTCACCATTTCCGTGCTCAATTTGACATGTATTTTTGAAGTGCATATTGTGTGCTCCCAAGTAAGTAGTATTATGTATGTAACACTCAGAAACATGTCCACCCCCCCCCCCCCCCAAAAAAAAAATTAAATTAAAAAAAATTTAAAAAAACAAAACGTGTCCATATATGTCTTAGACGTCAATTAACAGCAGCGCCTTGCTTTTTTTTTGCTTCCATATGTCGAAGCCAAAATGTCGCCCTTTTTTGAAAGTTTAGTCATGTCATTGAATAGTGATTTGAAAATTAATGATCACATGTTATTTAAATATAAATCCAATCGATATTATTACAGGAACCTTCCTTTTGTTTTGTTATAAAAATGGAACAGTAATTCTCTAAAAGCCAAGAAACCACCGTCTTGCAGGAAGCCGTCCGTGCAATTCCCAGGCCTGATACATTATTAGGATATTAGGCAGTATATTAGTACAAAATAATTTACTTTGTAAACTATGAATTTTACTGTTCAAAACTTAACTAATTGCAATCTTTATGCTTGCTCTAAATATATAAAAAAGAAGGTGTGGTATGATTGCCAATGAGACAACTCTCCACAAGAGACCAAATGACACAGAAATTAACGACTATAGGGCACCGTACAGCCTTCAACAATGAGCAAAGCTCATACCACATAGTCAGCTATAAAAGGCCCCGAATTGTGACAAATGTAAAACAATTCAAACGAGAAAATTAACGGCCTAATTCATGTACAAAATAATAAACGAAAAACATATATGTAACACAGCAACAAACGACAACCACTGAATTACAGGCTCCTGACTAGGTACAAAGACACACAGAATGTGGCGGGGTTAAACATGTAAGCTGGCGCCCAAACCTACCCCTAATCCCGGGACAGTGGTGCAACAGTACAATACAAGAGCTGTACAAAACGATAAACAAACAACACATATGATCAACAGCAACAAACAACAACCACTCAAATACAGGCTCCTGACTTGGGACAGGCACATATAGAATGTGGCGGGGTTAAACATGTTAGCGGGCGCCCAACCCTCCTCTTACCTGGGACAAAGGCTTTACTCATCAGATAGATACAAATAGAAGTACATCTAACAAAAACACAGAGTGGACGTGGGAGGGTACTTGTAACATAGACAGATTATTTTATCAACCGAAGCACAGGTGAGGTGTTACTCGCTTTATTTTACCAATTTGTTCAGTGTATAACAAAATCAGTTTCATGACATGGACATTGACAGGGAAAAAATGCACACATAGAATTTGTATCCGGAGACTTCATTACAATTCCAATCAGCCAGGACCTTAAAGCCAGGAATTATTTTAATCTTTATAAATTATGAATTCGGTAAAATTGATAAGAAATTTATGATTGATTGATTGATTGTTGATTGCTTAACGTCCAGTGGCAAATATTTCATGCATATTCAGGACGAGAACAAATTAACAATAAATATAATAGGTAGGTTCTGTAAAGGGGGCGTCCGGGATTAAGGTCGCCACGGGAAATAAGGGTATATTGAATAGGGACAGAAAATTAGCCTTGCAACAGGTCACCTACGGACCCCTCAAAGAGTTGTTGCAAGGGTTCTTAACGTGCAAAGAGCGTGGCACTCTCTTTACACGAGACATCGGATTTAACGTCCCAATTCTGACCGGACGTGGCTGCAAATTTGTACATCCCGCACAGCCAAACGGACGCCCCACTTTAGCAAGGGTTTTACTGCCGGTCGGAGGAAGACTAATGGTGACCATACTTCTATTCCCCAGTCACCCTTGGGGGAGAAATTTATGATGAAAACTAACCAAACTAAAGTGCCATGCAGGCATGTCATGGTTCATTTTACTTCCACTGATATATCAGTACGAACTAACTACTAACTACCCCCTTTCCATTCCTAGTTTTCATCATTCATTTCGTATCAATTTTCCAAAGTTAAAAATTATCCTGGATTCAAATAATAGCTTGTTTATTAGCGTTAAAATTCAAAACGAAATGTTTTCCATTCTGGTATTGATCAACTTTCTAAAATACCTATTCGCTATAATTTATAACAAATACATTGGAAAAGTATCTTATTTCGGTGCATTCCATTTGCGCACATTACCATAATATTTGCGTGCAGGTTTTGATTACGTTTGCGCGCATGTTTTTACAGGTAAACTCAGGTAAATACATGTAGATTTATATATGTATTTGACTGTGATTTTGGAGCAGGATAAGTCTGTTATTTTATGCACAAGCACTAGTCCTGGAAATAAAATATAGATAGAAATGTAAAACATAGCAAATCTAATGATTAAAAGTACTGATTTTATAAAATTATATATCGTAACTAATGTGCTGAATATTGGAAACTTTAAGAAAACACATTTGAATAAAATTGTTCATTGTAGTGAGCATGGAATGATTCCGGAACGTTCTAGCACGCTTGGGTGTCTAAAGACTTGAAGGAAAATGGAATCTGGTGAAATACTTTCGCAATTGTATATGGTGCATCTCCATAAAATATCCCCTGACTTATGTGTCCTGTGGATATGGAGAGTAAATCCGTCGTACGCTAATGATGTGTTCCCCTGATTTGTTTCTATGTATGTCTTGAGCTATGATCAGTTTTTTTAATTTTTTTAGAATTCATTAGTATAAATATATAATTTAAATTTACAAATATGTTCAAATTTCATAATAACTAAAGTCATATTTATTATGAATCATCTTTATTTTTACCACTGTTACCTGTTTAAATAAATGCGCGCAAATGAAATCAAAAGCTGCGCGCAAACGTAAAAAAAAATAATTCCCAATTGCCATCAAACGTAATGCGCCCTCTTATTTATAGAAGCACCAAACAAAGTTTGGTTATCTTAAGGTGAAATAATATCAGACCTAAGAGCAAAAGAAAATAACTGCTCCTCATTTAACATATATATCTTTGATATTTATGACCCACCCTCAATATGTCTTTATGTCTTTTCTGTATAACAACATACTTGTAATCAATCTCATTATAAATCTGGAAATTTTTAAAATAATAATTTTTGGGTTCATTTCTTGCCATATATTTACACTACTGTAAGTGTTTACAAAGACTTCAACTTTTCAGTGGGATTCCCTAAACTAAAGTCAGAGATACATGCACTTAGTCTATTTTTTTTTACATCTGGGAAGATCCTTTGGCGATTTTGAAGTTTTTTATTATAAAATTTTAATTTATTTATAAATAGCTAGCTGCTATGGAAATAAACTATAAGTAAATTTGAATTTTTAACATTTTTGAATTGTGTGGTGTTTTGTGTTTTAGTCAACTTTGTTAAAATCCATATTGTTTTAATTGATGAACTTTACTTCCATCGTACTTTAATAACTCATAATTCAGGCAAAATGTTGTGTAGCTGTTGCCATGGCAATGCACATTATACAGGGAAAATAATGAATTTTACTCATCTAGCTACCTGTGTTCTCATTATAATTTAGAACCAAAAAAATGAGTTTAGTGACATTGTCATGTATCCCCCACTGCATGATTCTTACAAAGATATGTACTTAAATGCTTTTGCCAATATCATGCATAGTTTACAAGAGTACAATGCATGTTCTTGGAGCCTCATGGTTTTAGGTTTTAGTATTAGATACAGAACAAAGGTAAAACTGGCCGTTAACAACCGTTGCCGTATACTTTTTCTGCACGAGTAGTCAGGTAAAGTCCGAGGCGATAGCCGAGGACCTTGACCGGACTACAAGTGCAGAAAATCTAAACGGCTGGTTGTTACCATCCAGTTTATTTTGTTACTTTTGTCAGAGACATATATATGTCTCTGCTTTTGTTTTGTATCTGACTTGTACGACGTTTTTAATTAGAAAATTACACAAATTTGAGACGATTGCACCATAATGAAAAAGATTAAACACAAAAAAAAAATTAAAAAAAAAATGCGTACTGGTTTATGTATCACGATGTTTGGAGATATTTAGTCTTTAATAAATTAGGGATTTTTCGTTAACACTAGCGCTTCTCAATTCTATCAGCTATGTGCGAGTAAAATTTTTGCTTATTCCTTTTATACATATCAGTGAAGTAGGACTAGAAAAGTTGAGAAAAAGGGGGGGGGGGGATTTCTTATAGTGGCAAGCAAAAAAAAGACCTTTACATGTAATCCATATTTTATATCATAATAGTCTAATAGTCTAGAAATAAGCCAATGTCCTCTTTCGTAGTCACTTAATATTTAAAAAAAATGACAAAATGGGAGAGGGGCGTATAGTTTTGTCCCTCACTTTAATTGGTATGGTACCCTACACCCCTGAATTTATATATCCCCTCCACACCAAGATAAAAGCATAAATACGTACAAACAAATTGCAACTGATTTTATGCTTTTTATGGGCTCTGTAATTTGGGAAATAAAAATATTCTATTCTAATCACAGGCACTTGTCTCAGAAAAAAAAATTTCCTATATACCTTAAAATAACGTTATATTAAGGTATATAGGCGGAAAAAATTCTGAGACAAGTGCCTGTGATTCTATTCTATTCTATTCTTTTAAACTGGAATCCGCTTGTATTACGCTACACTCAAACTATGAACAAAGTGTAGTAGTCAGCCGAGAACCAGCTTACTATTCTTTTCGAGTAGACCCACATATTGATCACGTGACATACATTTTTTTTTTCATTTTACGTCCCTGGCAGAGGTTTGTACATGGAAATATTTAATCGTTAAAGTACTCTTGTAGTCAGTAACTTCGTTGACACATTATTTAATTTCAGCATTTTGGTACATAGTTAGCTTTTTATAAATATAATTCTTATGAACACTTTTCATATAAACAGGTTGGGAACAACCCCTCAATGTAATGACTATCCCTTTTATGAGGAGTACATTTCAAGTGATAAAAAAATATTTTTTTGTAAAAACCACTTCTTAGTACAAAAGGGCACACATTTATATTATTTGAAGAATATTTTCCCAAAGAACTATACATCTTCTGGTATTATATGGTTAAAACATGTCCAAGAATTTTGTAATATTCAATTCAATTCAATTCAAAATTTTATTGGAAAGAGCACAATAGAGGCGTGATCCAAGTACAGACAATAATATATATTCAACAATAACATCTACTATAAATGAAATAAAGATCAATGTAACAACAAGTCATAAGTCAATTCTAGATATGGTCTATGGATACCATATAACATTCAGAATTCTTCATGATACCATACACATATACATCATGATTATTCTAAGTTTTCATAATTTTACTTAAAAACACAGTCATCTATATATAAGATATATGTGTATATGCACAAGCGGCTATAAAGGATTATTATCCAATGAAACAGTATGCATATGGTGGTCTCTCAAATCAAGAGCTTATTCAATATACATACAAATTGGTTTTAGTTCTTGTCAGAATTGGGATTTAAAATTTTGATAAAATTTTCATTCGAATTATTTGAATTTATTTCATTGATTTTATATTTAGATCTAATTTTGTTATATAGAGAACATTCAATCAAGAAATGTATCTCATTTTCAATTTGTCCTGTGCAAAATTTACAAAATCTCTCATTAGAGCGTATTATTGGTCTTGCATACCTACCAGTTTCTATTGCTAATGAGTGTGCACTTATTCTTAATTTGGGGACTTTTTTTCTGAGATATTTAGGAACATTATAGTTTAAATATTCTTGTTATTTAAATTTAGTATAAATTTTACTAAAAAATAAAAGTTTGCCACAGTTTCCATCTTTTATTTTAGATAGTTCAAATATAATTTTGTTTTTGTAGAAATCTTCTAGTTTCTGTTTGAAATTAATATTACAATGCTTGTTTAAGGATATATTCCAATATATTTTGATAATTCAGATAATTTATTAGACCATGAATTTTCTCTACTTGTTAGAGTTTTGTCCACTTCAAAAGCAGCCTTGAGAATTTCATGTGGACCACCAGACTGTTCACCAATATCACTGAGACGCACATAGTATTTATACATAAGTTGATAACATTTTTAATGCTAATAGGTAATGTACCAAATTCAACCGAAATGCTAGATTGGAAGACTTTCCATGAACCCTAAGTATGTTTTTAAATATGGAGTTATGTGTTTAAAATTAACTTTTGTCTAAAGCTTCAAAATTTGGTTTGGATTCTGATATCCATACTTCTGATCCATAAGTTAAAATAGGAATTATCATTGAGTTAAAAAGCTGGAGACAAGTTTTAACAGACAAGTTTTAACAGACAAGTTTTCACTGTATGGGAGTTTAGACCAATGCAAAATATGCTTTCTTAGCTTTATCTGAGAGGCTTGACACTGCCTGTATAAATTTTCCAGAGCTATGAAAATCAACTAATTTTATAATAATCAACAATTTTGATTGCATTAGAACTGTAATAAAAGTAGAAATTTTCTTGAATTACTTTTTTTTTTGAGAAAATTATAATTTTTGTTTTTTTAAAGTTCACATCCAGTTTCCATTCAGCACTATATTTTTGCAAAGAATCAAGACAGTTCTGGAGACCAGTTGTAGATTCAGATATCAATAACAAATCATCAGCATACAATAAATGGTTCAATTTTTGATCATGTAAATTAACTGCACTTGTCTAGTTGATTTGGTATCAAAGTATTTTCCTATGTCATCGACAAATATATTAAATAAAGTAGGACTTAAACTGTCTCCTTGTTTGACTCCTTGATTAGCAAGAAAAGGCTTAGTAAACATATTCTGATATTTACATGAATATAATGTATTAGAGTACATGTCATGCAGTATGTTATAAAATTTGCCTCAGATTCCTTTATCTTTACTTGTAATTTTAAGAATAGAGCTGATCTCCAGACACTGTCAAAAGCCTTTTTAAAATTAGAAATACAAAACACACATATAGTTTCTTTTTTGCATTTAAACAAATATTTGTTTATTATAGTTTTTAAAATAAGGACATGATCTACAGTTCTGTAATTTTTTCTAAAACCACCTTGATTTGAACATAATAAATTATTTGTTTCAAGAAAATCACTTGTCTTTTTTGTAATGTGGAGGTAAATACTTTATCAAGACAGCTTGTTATGCTTATACCTCTATAATTCCCACAATCAGATGGGTCACCAGATTTATAAATTGATGTCAATAGAGAAATGTTCCAAATTTGGGATATTTTTCTGAATTAAGTATCTTATTAAAAAGTTTTGTCAGAAGTAAAACTAAAGTGTTTGACCCTACCTTTAGAAACTCATTAATTATCAGATTAGGACCTACAGATTTTCCCTTTTTTAACTTCTTAATGCACTGTCTTTGATTTCTTTACATGTAATAGAGACATTAAGGGATGTATTAGTACAGTTATGTTCTTTGTTCTCTATATTTTGATCAGTATCAGTTTTATCATTTTCACTTGAAGCATTTAGTAAATTTTTATAATGAATCTTCCATTCTTTGGCAGAAATAGCAGGTTCACAGTTATTGTTCTTTTTTTTTGTAATTATTAATGCTACCCCAAAATTCTTTGGTGTTCTTTGGATTTATATTATCATTTATTTGTTTTATCAAGGATTGAAAAAAACCTTTTCTAGTTTATTTTTAAGTTTATTGTACAGTATGATGGATTTTTTAAAATTTGCTTTGAAAGAAACTGATTTTTTTGTGGCTTCTAAATACATTTCATTAGTTTTGGTCAATAAGAAGTCAGTATCATTAAAACTATTATTGTCAATTAGTTTGTTTAAAGATAGAATGTCTTCTACACGATTTTCTTCTAATAAAGGGTCAATATAAATGTCCTTGCTCTGATCGGTCCAATTTAAAGTACCAGGAAGGGACCATAGTTCTTCCTTCTTTATTTCTTTAGGGTGTTTAAAATTAAAAATATGCAATGCTATTAAACAATGATCTGATAGATCAGTAGGTGGTTTAACCATAAAGTTATTGATGGTATAAAATAAATTCTATGATGTCAGCATATAATCTACTGTGCTCTTACCATTACTATTACAAAATGTAAAGTAGCCAAGTGAGTCACCAAGAAATCTTCCGTTCACAATTCTCACTTGAGAGGACTTACAAATATCAACTAGTAGATTCCCATGTAAATTGTTTTTTTGATCTAATTGATTTCTCTCTAAGGGTAAATCAGGTGTATAATCTTCAGGTACTGGACAGTCTGTAGAATTGTCATTAACACCATCATTTTGAATAAAGTCATTTAACCCCACCTGTGCGTGCATTAAAATCACCGCTTAAAATCACCTCACCTTAAGATAGAAAAAAAGAAATATCATTTTCCATTTTTGTGAATGTCAATTTAGAAAATCCTTATTATTATATGGTTTGATGTAAGTAAAACATAAAAATATGTCTTTCTCTAAATTGAGGAAAGTTCCATCTATTTTCAACTATATTGAGAAGTTGTTCTGTTTTATTTCAGAAATTACATAGTTTCAGCAAAAAAAAAACTATATCATATTTACAAACATTTTCAATAAACAAATCATCCTGAAATTTATCTTCATTTAAACCATGGATATTCCAATAGGCAATATTCATATAGTAAGTCAAAAATCTATTTACAAAGGACACGGGGAAAGGGAAATAACTCCATTATTATTACTTTACAGATCTTTTTTGTTAATATATGCAGGGACATATAAGTTATTGATATATATGTGTAATGTGTATATTTTCTATTTCATTTAGTTATCAAAATAATATATAAATATATAAGTTTCTTTTACTTTAACTTAAAACACAATAATGAGTTTCAAACATGGGACAAGGGAAGTAAATCTAAATTTTTCTGTTTCATGAGATGTGTGCTAATTTTATGTATCATAAAACATTGATAGCAATATGTATGTAATAGTGCCTAGACTACAGTATACTTTTAAAGAGTGTATACTACAATATACATGTAATTAATGTCATTTGCAAGCAACATAAATAAAAAATTAAAACATACTATTGTGATTTTTGTACAAAAATAAAAATAACTATAATAAATGCTTATTATTCTAATTGGCCTTAATTAAAGTATATGGCTAAATGTACTGTACTATATAGCTTTTCAGTTAAATCTATAGCTGAATTATTGTGCAAGTTCAATATAAGTCTACTCACTGAGTCTACTGAGAAGTAGGTTCATTTCACTTTTTGTTAGCGTTATGATATTGTTGACTACCGGTATAATAGTTATAGGGGTTTTGGTTTTCATTGTACATGTAGTTTTGCCTGTAAGACTGATTGTCATTGTTTTGTCAACCATGGTAGTGGTTTATGTTTTAAGTTTCCGTTTTGTGTTTTACTTGTAGAAATAGAAGTTTTGTACTCATTACAAGGTTTAAGTCTAAATACTGGGTTCAAATGTGTTTTTTAAGATTCTGACGAGGCATTTTTTGCCTGATTGATTAAAATGAATGCCATCCTCTTGAAAAATGGACGTGTTAATACCACTTATGTCACTGTTCAAAATGAATTTAACATCTGATTGATTTTTGCAATATTTCTTTATTTCTTCATTGAATTCTTTTGCTTTTTTGTTGAAATGACCCGGGCTGTTTCACACGATCAAATGTTGGTAAAACATGTATGTGGGAACGAGTATGACTGTTTTTTGTGTTTTCTATAAGGTTTTTCATTTCATTTACACATACAGTAGTTGTTTAAATACTCAAGTCATTGCTTCCCA